TCCTTTTTTGTTTTTAATATGTATATATATCAAAATAATAATATTAACATTGGAATATAAGTATATAAAAGCAAAGCAGTCAATAGAAAAACATGTTAGTGCTTTTCATATATGCATGCGTGATGTGTTCAGCTTCACTGATGTTACTCTTTCTTTCGTCGAGCTTTTTTTTTTCCTCGTCTTTCTAGTCGTCGTCTGGTTTGATGGGAAAAATAAAGAGCGAGAGAAGAAAAAAAAAAAAGAACAAAAACCAATCTAAAACAAAATAATATTTCAAATTTGATTTATTACTCAATAGAATTAGGCAGCTATTTCTCATGTTTTCTTATTCAAACGAGAAAGAAAAAAAAGAAAGAAAATATTTTTGTTTTACTCAGAAAAAAAATAAGTCGCCGAAGTAGAGCTTTGATAAGGTAACTAAGAAAGAAAGAAAAAAAAATAAGCATATACGCTCATCTTTTTTTTTTTTTTTTTATTTAAAAAGAACATATCGAAGAAGAAGAAGAAGAAAATGATGAAGGAAAGAAAGAAAGAAAAAAAAAAAGAAAAATGACGTTTAATAAATGACAACCTACATATACTATTGCTGTATGATTGACACATAGAAAAATGAATGAATTTTTATTGATTTTAAAGTATTCAGAATATCTATCAAAGAAATTAATTAATTTTAAGTACAAATAGTTACCATTTCATGTCATTTAAATATTTGTATTTACCATATGTATGAATAAACTGTAATTTCATTGTACCAATAGATTCTAATACGAAAAATATCAATATATTGAATTATTATTAAGCAATCTTTTTTTTTTAGATTAAGATTCACTACTAAGTCCTTACTAGCATATGAAAGAAAAAAAACATCAGACAATTTGTTGTCTTAGATAAATTGTTTACAAGATACTACGCAGATAAAGGTGAAAAGATCGATGTTTGCTGCCATCTACTATATATATAAAAAAAAAAGGTCGTATTATTGATTTCCTTTTCTTGTCGTGTTATAATTTCGAAAAATTGGTAGAATTAGAGTAAATAATTTTTTCAAAATGTTACATATACAATTATTGCTCGATTTTGTGTCACGCAAAAAGTTTTGAGGTTAAAAAATCCATCGAAAAAATGCTTGGAATGGAAAGGGGGGGGGGGGGGGGGGGGAATTTTAGCATGAAAGCCAGCAAATGGAAGATAAATTTGTGAAACAAAATATAAGAAGATGGTATTATTATTATTTTTTGTTAATTCAAACAATAAAACAACACTTGAAAATATGATTGAATGTTATGTAAGATGTTTCATTTTTTTTCTTTAGTTATAACTCTACTTGAAGATGTAACTTTTGATAAAAATATCAATTCATTATGATCGACTACCATTGAAAGTATGACTGTCAAAAAACTCATAATTCATGAGTAAAACGACAGAAAAAATAGCCTAATGTCAATGTATCACGCAAGATTCTTTATGAGAAACTGATCATGCAAAATGATAACATGTATAATACTTTGCAATTAAGATCGGAACAAATATATATTATATAAGAGTTCAGTTTCTTTTTTTAGTTGCTATCGGAATTACTACTACAAATTGTTTCTAAATCCGGCTTTATGAAAAATGTCATTTTGTATAAATGAGGTCATATTATGAATTTATACTATAAAATACACGTACTAGATTTTTATATAGTTCAGATTGATCTAACTTTGAAGTTGTATTGTATATCCTAGTACGCAAATAAATACTCATCTCATAAAGTACAGTAAAACGCACAACTTATCATCTTTCAAATGAAGAAGTTTCCCTTTTTTGCTCGTTTTTTTTCTTAAAATAGTACATTAATGTTGCCATTTACTGATATATATATATATTAATGTATTTCCTACGGGTTTTTTCTTCTTTATTGATGATAATTAGTTTATATATATATATAGGATCGTTTTCTTAGTTGAAATTATATCATTCAAATAGAATTGAATATATAATAATCTTATGAAACATTCTAATAATATACATTTTTTTTTATGACGTCAATATTCTGCAAAAATTATCCAAGCATAAATAAAAATTTTGAATTTGACCATGAAGAATATTTTATAAGTTAGTGACAAAAAAAACACTTCTATAATTAATCTTAAAAGTGTATTCTACAATTTATTTTAATACTGGTTAACTCACTTTTTATCTAATTTTTTTTCAAGTAAAAATAAATCAAATATATACTCTTCATGATGTTCGCATTTATTGTTTTTTAATAGGTACATTCTATTTAAAAAAAAACAGTTAATGCAAGACGAAATTTGACTCGTGATAAAAAAAAATACGATAGTATCTGTTTTACAAAAAAAAAACCGTATTACTTTTCTATATTAAAATAAAGAAATTTTATCTAGAAACTATTTAAAGTTTTATCTTTAATTTCAAATTTAATGAATTATTTTTATTCATTAATTATTCAAATCATTGTAAATTGAAGTCGATTGGAGATTATACTCTTTTTTTTTTTCTATTTTTCAACTTGCAATCTAACATTCATAGGCATATAAAATAGCAGAACAAAAACTATTAAGTAGCAATTCTGTAATGTCAATCATAACAAACGTATTAAATAACATGCACTTAACTTTTTGTTTGCTTAGTTTTGTATATTTCTTCAAAGAAACTGATAATTGATTCTTGAAAGAAATTCCGTAATTGCCGATGATTGTTTCATGAAAACTGAGTTGATTTTTATCTCTCAACTTCATCGAATAAGAAATTGATTTTCACCAAAATATTTTTTGTAAATAATCAAATGGCATAAACTTTTTTTATAATTTTCTTACAACCCAAAAATATCTTCTACGTAGTCGATGTCTATGTGATGTTTCTTTTGCGTTATCGGCTTGGTGGTTATTGATCAGTAAGAATAAAAAAAATACATGAAAAGCGCATTTAAATGAGCCTAAGGCATGTCAATTCTATTACTCATTAGATGAATGAAACTCTTTCAACTTTTAGTGAATGATGAAAGGAAAGATCCATTAATTAGATGAGATTAAAAAAAGTTCAGATCAATTACCTAATTGCATTATCATTTGGGAATAACAAGAATGCTACTACCTATGAAACAGAAACATCTAGAAGTCAAAAAAAGTTCTATTGTTGAATAAAGTTCTTTGTGTTTTCATGTCGTGGAAAACTTCGTTATTCTTCGGATAGAATCAAGTATAAATGAATCAAGTGAAAACGTACGAAACTCTATCACTAAATATTTAACAATAGTTCTGACATTCTCGGTTGGCAAATCGTCATACACAAATAGAAATTTGGATTCATATTGTCTCGATATATGCATTTTGTAGTCATGAAAAAAAGAGCTGTCTTCGTTCGAATTTGAATGTGTCTTATAAACTAAAATAATCTTTGAGCTAAATCATTTGTTCCCAGGTCGAGAAATACGGGCGAGTTCCGGCAGGAAAACACCGGAAATCGTTGGAACAGAGTAGCAGTATTTCGAGCGGAAAATTGTCGGATTTTTTCCGGTGATTTCCGGTCAACTTTCTGCAAGAAACGTGGGGAGGCTGATGGGAAGTTACAGGAAAAAATGCGAAGAATTTCTGATCGGAATACTGCCACCCTGTTCCGGCGTTTTCCTGCAGGATACGGTGAATTTTCCCGCATCTTCCTGCCAATTCCTGCAGGATCTGTTCTCCGGAAACATTGACCTGGGTTAACGTGACAGAGTACGAAGAGATTTTTTTATCTGATGAGGGAACCTCTCGAGGTGTAAAATCGCTTTTCGCTTGAAAGTACTGCCATTAGCTAGGCCCCAGTGAGTAATGAAAAGTCTATTTGGGTTCCAGTGCATGGTGTTCCTGGGCTGAGATATTGACTTTTCAAGTTAGGCTGAAATCAGCTAAAATATCAGGTTTTCAAGTTCTAAAAAAATTTGTCATTTTGTTGAAAACTTGCGTTATCTTCCATTTTCACCGATTCCACTTTCACCGACTTCCATTTTCGCCGATTCCAATATCACCGACTAATTTTTTTGACCGAAAATTATCAAGTCAAATATGAATCATATTCTATATTTAAAAGTTTTCCAATTTGACAGGTTTATTAACAAACTCATTAATTACCAACTGAGTTGGTAACCATCTCACTTGGTAACCAGGAGGGTGTGGGTGTAACTCCTTTCTACCCATACCCACACCTACACCCACACCCACACCCACACACCCCTCACCCACATCCACACCCATCCACACCCACACCCACACCCACACCCACACCCACACCCACACCCACACCCACACCCACACACTTACTCACTGGGGTCTATCTAATGACAGTACTTTCAAGCGAAAAACGATTTTATACTTCGAGAGGTTCCCTCGTTAGTTGATTTTTATTGTCAATAGTACAACAGCTGTGGGTTCTTTACAATGTATTCTTTCATATACACCAAAAACTGAGCGAGTTGTTAACAAAATACGAGGCTTTTGATTTATTCTTACTCGTTTTTTATGTACGCTATTTCACAGATCTGACATAGATAAAATACACCTTTCGATAAAGTGCGAGAAAGAATGGCTAAAGTTTGGACAGGCTTTTCTAATCTTATCTTTTGTGCAATCAAGTTCACTCTTAATAGATATTTTTATTGAAAAGCATCAAGATATCTTTCATTTATATTTGCTAGAAAGAAACAAGTGGACGTTTTCGATTTTCCAGAAATGATGAAGTTTGACAAGAGTTGTGCGGTTCCCATGCCTCCTCTTCTAACTGATCCAGAAATGGAACTCTATAGTGATGAGCCCATTTTTGATCCTGATATTCATTTGGCAATGACCGAACCGGATTTTGTTGTATTACTCGATGGCTTTCAACATGTAGCACAATCACCACAACTCCCTCAACCTGTAACAACCGATGGTGATAGCTAACTGGCTTATACTGGTCCATTTCGATTGTTAAGTGATGAGGGTTATCGAGTATTACGTATGATTCTTCAGCGAGAAATGGTACATCGAATATGTGATGAACGTCATCCAGCTAAGATTCGACACAGTGGCTATCGTAGTAAATGGTTACAAGATTTCAATCGATGTCCGCGCATACTCGAGCATTTATCAAACATGACTGGAGACGTACGACTTATGCCGACAACTCTTCAACCAAGCTATAGTCATACTAATATTGGCTATGCAAGTGGTGACAATATAGATGCATACCATTGTGACAGTGTACCCTACGTTGTCATCTTACTGGCTTGTGATATGAGGAATACAGTCGGTGGTGAATTGCAACTCATCGAACGTGATTCTAAGGATGCTTTTAGTCTCATTGAACAATACAAAGGTAAAGTGCCAAAAGAATTCATTCGAACAATCGATTATCTTGACCAAAATTCATGTGTATTTATGCAAGGTAAACGAAAAACTACAAAAATATTTAATTTAAAACTTTAATCATTCTTTAGGTAGTCGTATAGTACATCGAGTCACAAATATTGATTCTTGTTCGGAGCCACGTATCACAGTGGTCAATTCATACATGTCGACAAATCCATTTACTACTGAATCCACACGCTGCGATACATTTCGTCAGGAAAAAAACGGCGGCATTAGAATTTGCCATTCACAAAATGTGGCGTGCCAACGCTCAAATGCTTGATCTGGCTATCGGTGGTCACGAATGGCCAACCCACGATCAGGTTATTGAGCGCCTTTCGATGGTTAGCGACGAACTCAATCAATGTCGTGATGTACTCACGAATAAAAAGTCAGATTGGGTTGGTTATTATGATGAAAAGAAACAGAAAATGAACAATTATGACAAACCTTCAATGCCATTACAAGATGCACAACACTAAGCTGGTTTTTTTCATTTAAAACTATTCCCAATTAAATTATATAAAACTAAAGATGTTTTGTCGATATTAATATCATTCTCTGACTAATATCCTTCCTTCATCTTTTCTTCTCATTCTCTCTATTCTTCTTTCTTGTGATCATCAACAGTAGTAATAAATGCGACACCTGCATTTTATTATTACAAATCTTATTACGGTCAAATTTAAAGAATCTTTTTGATATGTAACATTGCATATTCTGTTTGGTGTGTTGTAACGGATAATAATCAAAAGACGAAGAAAATTGTCGCGATAAAGCAAAACATACCAACACGAATAGCACGAATACAATTTCGAAAACTTTTCACATATACAATAATTTTTGTTAAATACAATTATTTATGAGCATGTCTATACAAATAGAAATTCGAGATTAACAGTATTTGATAATGGATATTCATAAAACTAGAACAAGATTCATCATGTCAGTGCTTTCTTTTTTTTGAGACCTATTTCACCATTGCTATAGACAGTACATATGTGTCAGTGTATCCTTTTATTACAAAAAATTATTTTTTACATGTACATTTTTTTTTTAAATTTGCGTTATCACTGAAGAATTCTATTCTTCACCTGTTGATGAAATATTCTCATAATTCTACACGATTTAATCTGCATCTTCATTGATATCGTACAGTTGAAATCCAAATTATTTCATAAACATAATAAATGTGAAGAAAACAATTTTTTTTTTGTAAGCATTTCGTACTAAAAATTATTACATGTTGAATAATAATAATAAAAAAACATGTGATTATAATTAAGTGTATTTACGTCTATATCGACGACCCAATAATAATTTACACAACGTAATTCTTAATTCTTTGGAAGTAGAAACATAAACAACAACATCCAACAATGAATTTGTATATCCTAACCATGAAAATATTTTAAATAATAATTCATGATTTTGATCATCTTTAAAACGAAAACCAAATACACCGCTCAATATGAAATAAACAAAGTATGGTAACCAACAAACAACAAATACGCCCATAATAATACCTATAAATTTAGCTGCCTTTTGATTTTTCGAAATTTTTTTCCAAACACTATTCGTTCGTGTATATGTGCGTGTAATTTTCTTCATAGGCTTGTTAACACTTCGGCTATTTCGTCTAGATGAGTCTATAGTTGGATTTCGATATTTACCATGATGAATACGAAGTGTTATTAATTCAAATGATGGTCTACGATGTGCTAATAACGTAAGTGACTTTTTTCGTAAACTTCTTTCAGGTACTCTAACTATTGTATTTGTTTTTGGACGTTTTTCAGTTAACGTTTCTCTCAAACGAAATACTGGAAAAAATGATTTAGCGGATTTCGTTAGGTACTGATGTTTGTAACCTGCATTGATTGCTTGTACTTGTTTTTCTGCTGCCAAATACACTTGAATGTAAACGTAAGTCATGATGATCAATGGTAGATAACACGATACAATCGATACAAATAATATATAATATGGATTATCTGGAAATTCACACTCTTTAAATAGTAACGATGGTACCGATATTGTTTCATTCGACGTCGATGATCGTCCTAAATAATATACGATAGGAAATTAAAGCGATCTAGTTTTAATTAAAATCGATTATACTACACAATCTAGTCAAAACTAAAGGCGATAGGTTTAGTTTTATTTGTGTAGGACATTAAAGAGATCTGTGAGACATACATCTCATAACCTAGGATGGAAACTATATCATGAAAACTATCGAGAAAATGACGGTTTTCTCAGGTCGTTTATTGGTTCCTTTTAGCATAGTAAACCGCTTGCTTCTGTTTGATATCGAAATTAAAGAACCTGAATCTAGAGCTAGTTTGGAGCTTTTTCCTGATTTTTCATTCGTTATAACTAGCAGATAAGTTCTTTTGTAAGTAGTCAAACATTATCCGAGAACTATATGACCGTTGAGCTCTATAAAAAAATATTTTTGCATTGATATCCATTTTTGTTTTAGTTTTTGAGTTCATTCTGCTGCTGAATGAACATAAATATGATCTAAATGCTGAACTAGACTATTATGTATTTATAATCTTTAAAAAAACTGAATATGAAAAACGAATTATATTAGTTTTATAAATACCATTCATTCATATCGTTATAGTTTTCTCAAATATTTTGTCACTGTTTCCTATTTTACAAGTAAAAACAGGATAAGGCTAGAAATTTCATTCTGATGATATAAATAAACTAGTGTTTCAACATTTACGCACTATATTATCAATATTGAATTTGAGTATCGAGTCTAAATTTGGATTATATAATAATTCTGCACGTAAATATATATATATATTTGAATCAAAGAATAACGAAAACAATGTTCAAAGATTTTAATATGGAATAGAACATTAAATATCTTTTCTACGTACGTAAAATCTCTTGTGCTGTTCCAAAATGAACTACAGCTGGAAATGATATGAGTGCTGAACCTATCCATATGAATGACAGCATAAAGTACCATCGATTTGCTATAAATGAAGTAGGATATTCAATGGGTTTCGTAATAAACACATATCGATCTAATCCAATGGCGCATAGACCAAAAATTGATGCTGTTGTTGCAAATATATCCATTGAATGCCAAAAATCACATAGAACTCTTAGATGTCGTGGAAACAACCAATATTCATCATCAGTCATTTCAAATATAAATGCAAATGGCATAGCTATTAAACCAACTAAGAGATCTGCAAATGCCAATGATGCAACATAGTAATATGTAGATGTATGTAATGTATATTCACGAATTATTGCATATATAACTAAGAGATTACCTAATATAGTTAATATGCATAATAATAATAGAAAAAAACCAATAGGATAAGCATGCCATTGGACGTCTGTTATTGTTATGTTCTTTGTTAATGAAAACAACTCCATAACTAAATAAATGAATGAAACATTGATAATATTTTAATTTAGAAGAGGATCATGACTTTTTTCAAACATTGGTCGTCAAGATATATTAACGATACTCAGAAAAAAAGTAGACACATTGTAATGTGTACGTCTTCGAGTTGAATGAAACCACTTAAAAGTTCTATCCAAAGACTTCCTAAGAGGATCAGCTTAAAACAAAAAACTAAGCCATGACTCAAATTATGAAGAACGAATTTTACCATAGTCAAATCTTGTCACAAATGATTTTATTGGGATATAAATATCAATTTTTCTTCTCTAGAAAAAAAGACCTTGTTCTTATTGAGTGTTCTATCATATCACTGATTTTTCTGGGATCTCCCGCACGCTACGACAGTCTGTTTCATTGTAAAAATACACAGTTTAGGAAAAAACAGGAAGGTATTCTTAGAAAATTTAGGGAGCAGCAGATACATTTTCATCATCTTAAATTCATAGTTTCCAAACACTCGAATGTTTTGGAAAATCTTAATTATTATTGAACAATCGAATGTAATAATAAGTTAAAATCAAGTACATTTAAGCTATTGGTTTTCAACTAATTATATAAGAGAAAGAAAGCAGGGAAAGGGCGATGATAAGGAGCAAGTTTAAACAATCTGTTACGCTCAGATAAAAGTTCAAAATAATTCCATCGGACTCGGCGAGGTCCAACTTTAGAGTTCTTCATCCTGGGAACTACTTAATGGTACTAATTATGTCACCCAATCCAAAAATTTCTCATGCGCTTTTTCCTCATAATCACATCATCATTTCAATATAGATGTTGCTAAACGTTATGAAGATTTCGAAAAAAAAAGCAGAATTTCAACCTATACTTGCCTCAAGATTGTTTCATACGTGCAACTTTTTTCTATCTTCTTCTTTTATTAATAGAAAATGCCAAATATATGCAGTGCTGCTGCTAGAAGGTCAACTTAAAAGGCATGACTTACTCTTTCATTGACTATACAATTCAGTATCTTATTTAATAATGCAGAAGAAGAAGAGAAAGCAGTGTAAGAATGCATATTATTAATACAACTGCATTTGTTAACTGTGAAAGAAAAAGGAGAGTAGGATGAAGTAAAATGTTATATGATAATAAAAGACAAAAAATTTGATCGTACTACTGAGGAATAGCAAACATCATGTCATGACTTTCTGTCAGAATATTGAGTTAAAATTGGTATTGATCGTACACATTGATACGGAACGAGTAAAAATTGTCGATCAATTTTATTATTATTGGATTTTTTCGCTTTTTTTCATGTTTAACAATGTAACATTGGAACTTCAATAGATATGGCACAAAAAAAATAGTCTATTGACGAGAAATTTTATGAGAAGAAAATGAAATTTGACTATGTTCAGTCGCATACCATCGATGAATAAAGCACGAAACAGAACCTAACAACTTTGTTTCGAATCGGTGATCGAACACTAGAGAAAAAGATGTGAAAGTAACATCTATGCCATTGCATATCTCAATCAATCTGTAACTATTATTGATGTAACGGAGCAAAAAGTGGCAAGATGTATGCAAAAAACAAGTTTCTCATTTTAATAGCGAACTCCAAGTTATACTTCTCATTATACAAAACTGAATTTGAGAATTCTTTGCAACTGTTATGAAGAGTTATCGATCGATAAACCTATGAACAGATTGCCGACCATTGAGTTCTTAAGTCTTTTGATGACACCGTCTAATCAGGAACACGTTTTGAAATCTGCAGACTACTTAAATGATGTCGACACACTGTAAATGTGAACGTTGTTGTGGATGAGGGAATATTCTCACACCGTACACTCACAACTGAGTCAAAATTTCAATAAATCGATCATAACTTAGTGCTAAATGCTCCTGAAGAAGCTTTCTTTTAGGATTTTGATAATCTTAATAAGACCTTCTTCTTGACATGAAACGGTGTGGGTGTGGGTGTTGATCTTTACTTCATCCACACCCGCACCCACACTCACACAGCCGACAAAGAGAGAAAATATAATCACAAGTTTTAGGAGAGAGCAGAACAAATTTACGAAAGAGAAGAGAATGAGTTTGGCAAAAATCCGAACATTGATTTTTTTTGTTTTTATACCAGATAGGCACCATACATAGGAATATAGTACGAAACTAAAACATAGTTTGTCACAATACATAGGGTTATGGAAATAAATGTGTCACAGTATGTGTAACTACGAAGGACAAATTCTGCAATTCTATATATTTACGATCACATGCATAGGACCATCGGAGTAGTTGTTTGAAATACACTGAAAACATTGAAGTGTCCAGCAGTATCTGAGAGCATAAGGCACGAATATTAGAGCTTGAAAATGTGTATTTGATATTTATCGTCAGACAATATTTGGAGCTAAATTTCGATTCGAACCCGTGACATGTGTGAATGTTGTTGAAAGAGACGATGACTGAGAGATTGAATGAACAGCTTTGATGAAAGGAATTCCGTAATTCTGGATTTATTGGGATGATATATGCATCAAAGAGTGGATGTGGATGAAGAGAAGACATACACGCACACCAGAAATATTATCGGACATTGTTCCTCTACATTGTTCATTTTATTCATATAGTCGAACATGAGTTTTCTTACATTAGATAATATAAATGTAATTTGATAAATCGTTCGTCTTTCTGACATCAAATAGGGTGTGTGAGTAGGTGTGGACGTGGATGCATGTTATTTCATCATACACACTTACAGCCACAGTCTCAAGAAGAAAGCTTTATATTTAGAATCTATTCTAAACTAAAATGTCCTACAATAAAAAAAAGACATTCTATATGAAGATGTGCGCATGTATGTGACAAATGGATAAGAAAATCATAGTGACTTTGCAGAAGATCAATAACTAAACGAAAATCTTATGGTTTAAGATAAAAAAAAGTAATAATTAAAATCTTCTAATTATACTATATTGCAGAAGTGTTACGATAAAATTTCATTAATCTAAAATTATTTTCAATCTTACTCCTTATTTATACAAATACGATATATGATATTACAACACACAATTATTAGTCTTGTTTAAATATGTCAAATTTAGTCGATGCAAAACACTCGTTTCCAGAAAAGTGCTTTCTTCGCTTCACATCGAAACGTTTTCGAGACGATTAAATTTGCATAAAAACTAGTACAGAATGGAATACCAGCACTAAATAGACATAGATTTCTAACAATATTTTCAATCTGTATATGCTCAGCACTTTTTATATAATTTTGTGTTATTTGTTGATACAAGAGAAATATTGCAAACGCAAAACTAAATGAAGTATAGATAATGATATCCATCAGTAACATGAAAATAAGTTGTCGATCTTTTGAAGAAGTTGAGTGCGAATTACCTTCTGCAGTAGTTCTACTTAAAGATAAAGTAGGAGCAACTCTAATATGACGAATACTTCGAATATTCTTTATAGACCATAATTCACATATTGTCATTAATAAAAGTACCAAAGTTTCTTTGATGAGAGAGTAATAACTAACGAAAAGAAGACGAATACCTTGTTGAAAATAACAAAGAAATATTTAGGAGCAAGTTGTCTGATATTCGAGGCGATTAATGCATGACTATGAAATAATGCCTAAAATAATGTTCCAATAATAATACATAAATAGGCAAAACGGCGAGTACTTCGTCGTCGTGTAAGTGCATTTGATGAAGTAACCAATATTCTATCAACAGAAGCCAAAATTAAATAAAATGGACTCAAACAATTGAATAAAATAATTACATAAAGATATAGACGACAGATAATTAGATTATCTACAATAGCATTAATGTTATATCCTACGCTTAGTGTTACAGTTAATAATGCAGAATAAATATACATAAACTTAGCTACATTATATGCAACAAAATAGATTGAGCATGGATGTTTTCGTAGAGTTTTTTGAGTAAAAACAATTAAGTTGACAATGCAACTAATCGTACCAACAATGGCTAACATCGGGCAAACGAATTGATATAAATATTTTTCTGCTGATTTCATTGTAGCAACTGTATCGCTTGATAAAGATACTGAAGACATATGAATAATAGATGTTTGAAAAGGATAAGATAAGATACTATTCACTGAATCTGCACTGAAACAAATGTCCCAACATTCATTTAGTAATTATAAAATCTGAAAGACATGACAAATAATGCTTGATTTGTTTTTGACAAGAAAATTATTAAGAAGATGATAAGTTTTAATTTGTTCAACAGACTGTTTCTGTTCTTGATAATATTAAAAATAGGAAACAAATACGTCATTAGTTAATCAGGCAAATAGTATAATAAATGTAAAGTACAACATCAAAAATGGTTTTAGTTTCGCCCTTTGGACGCGAAATTTATTTTGAAAATATAAAAGTTTCTATTTCGCTGCATACTTGATTATTAATCAATATCTATTGACCATGTATTAAAAATCTATATAAATACGTACGTTTAGAAGATTTCCAAAGTATAGCACAGTTAAAAAGAACGTGTAACACATAATTCAACATTACACTGAATAAACTCATATCTTGTATCAGTTCATTCTTGTTGAACCTCTCTGTGCGCTGCTGCAGACATGATATCTTCGCCTTTTTATTTCTTCAGACATATCTTCAGCTGAAAAACCTTGAATTAGTGATGGAAAGTCTTGTGATTGGGTTGTAACATAAGTTCTGCGATTCTTTTTTTCGCAAATTCGAGGCTCTATGTCTCCTTTGTAAAGCCTCCAGTTTGCCTAAAAAACAAAAATAAGACTTGCAGAACTTATGTTACAACCCAATAGTAAGTCTCACTGAATGAGTGAGTATGGGTGTTATTTTCTCTTTATTCACGTCGACACCCACACATCTACACCCACACCCTTATTTCATTGACGTTAGTTTGTAAATAATAAGAAATCAAAGAGACTTGCATCAATAGTTCAACACTTAATGGACGAAATTAATTTACAAGCTTCAGCGAACCAATATTAGAAAAAAATCATCTTGTTTACACCTGAATATTTCATTTATTCATTAGTCTACACTGATCTGTCCATATTGTGGATGAAAATTGAATCGTATTTAATAAAACTCTCAGACTAATAAGAAGCCTTTTCTAAGTTAATAGTTTTTGATGTAACGAAGTTTTTTTTCGTGCATTAAAATAATCATTTCTCTTTTGATTATTGTCGATAATCGGTCATTTTATCGAGTGAGTTTTCGAAGAAATTAAAAAGTTATTTTATACCAATTTCAACAAAATTCACTAATTGGAGTGTGGGATGTGTTCATCCACATTCACTTCCACCCCGAAACTCATAAATCCTATTAGGATTTCATTGTTCTCGATCAGATATCTCTTATAGTCAAAGATATGATTGAGAGTTCGGTCATGATTTGGACACTTTCCTTGTAAGATAATTTTAATTTATTGGCATATTGACTTTTAAAATGAATTATCTACTACGTTTTCATTATCTTAATTGGTAACAATGCTTTTTTTCTTTTTGTAGACACTACTACTTCTAATCTTACTTCATTTTCAATAACCAGCTATAATACATTTGGGTATGATAGTGGGAGACTATCATTTTTTTTGTCATATGTCAAATCTGAGACATCTTACCCGCGACTTTACTGTAGCTTGATTGATATTTATTGATGGAATTCATCTTGAAAAAACAAATTTTGAGTCATCTGTTACAACTAACTATATTCATATTTCACATCCGTACAATTATGTCAAGCTTATATTCACATCATTATTTATTAGCTCCTGATGTTCAATCTATGTTTAGTCATTGGAAATATGGTTCAGTCAATTGTCATATTGATAGTTTCTTAAACAAAACGGCTGTAT